GCTGGGTCAGCAGTGCCCTTCTTGGAGAGAGAAAAGGTTAAGGTGAGACTCTTATGAAGGGAAGGATCTGTATTCTGAAGAAACCTGAATATTGCCCTACTATAACACAGCCCAGGCTGTTAGGTTTGTTGACATGTTGAGCCAGCCCACTAGATTGTGAGCTGAACTGCATGGATACACACAGTCCCACTACTCAGAAGAGACCACCATTAATAATTTTATTGTAAATTCTTTAAGACTTTTTTCTTTGCATATAAACAAAAATGTTGTTTATATGTGTACACATATGTAGTTTTAAAAATAAACATTGGCTCACATTGTGTGTGCTCTGAGACCTGCTTTTTTCACTTGACTAAAAAAAAACTGATCATTTTTCCAGTCACTCCATGTAGAGCTATATTAGTTTAGTGTTTTGTTGGGTTTTTTGTTTTCTTTTTTTGAGACAATCTTGCTCTGTCACCCAGGCTGGAGTGCAGTGGTGCGATCTTGGCTCACTGCAACCTCTGCCTCCAAGGTTCAAGCAATTTTCATGCCTCAGCCTCCTGAGTAGCTGGAATTACAGGCATTCACCACCTCGCCCAGCTAATTTTTGTATTTTTAGTAGAGACAGGGTTTCGCCATGTTGGCCAGGCTGGTCTCAAATTCCTGGCCTCCAGGGTTCCACCCACCTCAGCCTCCCAAAGTGCTGGGATTACAGACACGAGCTGCTTCGCCCAGCCTATTTTAGTTTTTAATGGCTGCAAAGTTGTTATTGTTTAAATGGACTATAATTTATTTAACAAACAGGACCCTTAATGATGAGCTTGTAGATTATTCCTAGCTTTTTGCTATGACAGACAATACTGGAAGGAATATTTCTGTGCATGTGTCTTCTTTGTACACTTTGGCAGGTAAAATGTAGGCTAAATTCCTGGGGCTGTGTCCTCCTCATCTCTGTATCCTCAGCACCAGACATAAGGTAAGTGCCTGGTAAAAGTGTTTAAATGGGCCGGACTCGGTGGCTCATGCCTGTAATCCCAGTACTTTGGGAGGCCAAGGTGGGTGGATCACCTGAGGTCAGGAGTTCGAGACCAGCCTGACCAACATAGCAAAACCCTGTCTCTACTAAAATTACAAAAATTAGCCAGGCGTGGTGGCCACTGCACTCCGGCCTGGGTGACAGAGCAAAACTCCATCTAAAAAAAAAAAAAGTGTTTAAATGCTCTGGATCTAGGTCTGACATCCTGTACTGTCTTATTTATCATTTTATTTTTAGCATCTACTACAGTGACTAAGAGCATAAAATGTTGCTTGCTGAATGAATAATCTCAGGGATAAGGAGAACTCCACCCAGAAGAGGAAAGTATCCAGGGGTGCTTTGTGCTTTAAAGTGATGTGTATTGGAATGCACTTTCCTAAGCACTGCTAGCTAGGAAGTACCTTTAGACATTTCTAATGAGTGCTCTGCATTCCTCTTCCTCTTCCTCCTTGTGATGAGTATTGATGTACTCCTTTCCCAGGTCCATAGAAAGGCTAGGTACAAATTTTTGATAAATAATTGGTTAGAGGGAAAAGTTAAAGACTCAATATTATTTTACCCTGTCTTCCCTTCAAAGTTTTATTTTTCAACTCCAGGATTCTCTTCATAGAACCTTTAAAGCAGGGACAATTTCTTGTTTAAGCCCCACATGACTAGTGCCTAGCATAGTATCTAGAGCAAACAGGCCTTCAATAAATGTGTGGAGAATAAAGGAATCAAACAATATTGGGCTATGCAGTTGGCATAATTGGAGAAATTTTCTAAATGTTTTGACCATTTTCTCAAATAAAAATGTTTTTCTGCTTCCCTTTGTTCAATGATGCCTCTCTCATTATGTATTAAATTCTTATGTACTATAGTCTGTTTCCGGCCTTCATTATTTTTATTCCCTATCCATTTTCTTTTTTGGTGTTGGTCCATATCATTTTCAACATTGTTACTTTATAATATGTTCTAATATCTTAGATCTTAGATATGAGGCTAGTTGTGCCTCATAACTCCTCTTTTTCAAAATAGCATTTTATACACTTGCTGAGTTATATTCGTGTAGAAGTATTTGGTTGTAGTCTAATAAAAATAGCCTACTGAGATTTTTGGTTGAGACTACATAAAATCTATAAACTAATTTCTTTTTTGTTTCTTTTATTTTCTTTTTTCAGTCAGGGTCTTGCTCTGTTGCCCAGGCTAGAGTGCAGTGGCATGATCACAGCTCACTATAGCCTTGAACTTTTGGGTTCAAGCCATCCTTCCGTCTCAGCCTCCCAAGTAGCTGAGAGTACAGGCATATGCCACCTCACCTGGCTAATTTTTTTTATTTTTTGTAGAGACAGAGTCTCACTATATTGCCCAGGCTGGTCTTGAACTCCTGTGAGTTCAAGTGATCCTCCCACCTTGACATCCCAAAGTGTTGAGATTATAGGCATGAGCCACTGCACCCAGCCGACTAATTTCTATATTGGCATTTTTGTGCTGATTTTTCCATCTCGTAACAAGGTATATTTTCCCTTTATTCAAATCTTCTGTTATGTATTGTAGTAGGAATGTATGTTATTCTTTATATGAGTCTCTCATTCAACCAGCCTGCTCTCCTGATTCCCATCTCCTGGCACTATGCTCACTGCTGGAGATACAAAGATGAGCATCCCCTAAGGTTAGCTCTTTCTGCAAGAAGCTCAATTTGGTGAACGAAAGAGATAACCCATCAAATAATTACAACTAACTCTAGTAATTATCATGATAAACAGAACACAAGGTGCTAAGGAAGCAGAGAGCAGGGGTACTGACCAAAACTAGAGATATTAAGGAAGAATTCCTGGAGGAAGGGGCCCTTAAATGAGTCTTAAAGGCCGAATGGAAGTTGGCCAGATAAAAAGAGAAGTAAGAGTATTTCAGGCAAACAGAATTTTCATTGGGGTGTGTGCTCAAAAATAAAGAGATAAAAAATAAAATGTTTTAGGAGCTGCAAGTAGCTGGAGTATTGGATGACAGTGGATAGTAGCTGGAAATGAAGATAGAAAGTAGGTAGGAGGATGGCAGATTGTGAAGGGACTTTTATGAAGAGGTAAGAGTGGATATAGCACCAAAGAATTTAAGTGGAGGAGTGAAATGGTCAAATTTATGCTTTAGGAAAAAAGTCCCTAAAAAAGAAAACACTAAAAATAAATAAAGGCTATCCTAGCTGCAGTGTGGAAGATGGCATTAAGGGGTACCAAACTTAGCCAGAGAGGTCAACCAGGGTACCTTCATAGTCATCTGGAGGCAACATGCCCTAAGGCAGGGCAGTGGGGCTAGGGATGGAGGAAAAGGAGGAATCCCAGAGCATTAAGGAAGTGGGCACAGACAGACAGCACACATGCATGCTCACACACCCATTCTTGTCCATGCTTGCCAAAGTGCTGTATAGTTTTTACTAGTTTAAACAGGATTTGTTCCCCTGTTGTGTTCTGACTGGCTGTTGCTGACTTAAGAAAGCTACTGGTTTTTAAAAATATATCTATCTTATATTTAACCCATGGATCAGGATTAAAACATTCATTAAAATTAAAAATTAAAATATATATATGTATCTTGTATTCTTCCATTTTTTGAACTTTGTTTTCAGTGTTCAGTTGACTTCTTTAGCCTTTCTAGGCATTTATTTTTATCTAAGTACTTTTGCATATTGATATTTTTGACCCTTCACCTTTTTTTCCATTTTTATTATGAAATTCTCAAACATACACAAAAATAAAGAGAATATTATAACTCCTATATGCCCTTCATCTAGATTCAATAACTATTAAGATTTTGCCCTACTTCTTCTTTCTGTTTTTGCTTTTATGTTGTTCCTGAGGTATTTTAAAGCAGAATCTCAGACCTTTTGTCATTTGAACTCTACATACTTCAGTATGCATCTCTAAAAAATGTGGGTATTTTCTCATGTAACCACAGTATCATTGTTATTGTGCTTAACAAAGTTTACAATTATTCCTTGGTATAATTTAGTATCTAGTACATATTCATATTCCTTGTTTATCTCAAAATATCTTTTAACAGTTGGTTTGTTCCAATTGGGATTTGAATCACGCATCGCATTTGTTAGTTTGTACTCAAGAGACTTTTAATCTACTTCAGTCCCTAACCCTAGCCCCTTTTCAGAAAAACAAACGAAAAACAACAACAAAAAGAACCACTGACTGTGGAAGAAACCATGTCTGTTGTCCTGTAGAATGTCCCACATTCAGAATTTGTCTTGTTTCTTCATACTATAATTTAATTTATTCCTCTGTCTCTCCTATTTCCTGTGGATTGGAAGTTAGCTTTGAATGACTAACTGGATTATGGTTCTTTTTCTTTTGGGGAAAAGGATAAGACTACTTCATAGGTTGAGGGTGTGAAGTACTTCTGTTTCTTCTGTCTGATAGTCCCACTCTTAGGGATGCTAACACTGAACAGTGGGTTTAGATGATGACAGCTCATCCCTCCATTATAAATTTTCCTCATCAGACTCATTGAATTAGTTCATCCACTGATGATTGTCTCTGAATGAATTATTTCATCAGGGCTACAAAAAAATGTTCTCATTCTATCAGTCTTTTCACATTTATTAGCTAAATAATATTCCCATAATAACTAGGGCTATTTTGTTGTCTTGAAATATAGTATGTACCCCCTTCCCCAAAAAAACTAGATAAATGCTTAATTCATTTTCTTTTATAGTAATTTTTGGTTAAAGAAGTTACCTTTGTTGTTCTTTTTAAGAATCTATTGATTTTGCTTCTAGTTTATGACTTAATTCATTGGCTAGGCTGCTGGTTCTCCCCCAGTGATTATCTTATTATCTCAGTCCTTTTGAAACAGGTTTCTTTTGCACAAGAGTCTTTACATCCTTGGGTGTGTGAATGACTTTCTCAGTACCACACGTCAGTCAGTCCATCTAGTCCTGCACTTTTCAGAAGAAGATGTAACAACTTTTCCTTTGGTTTTTCTCTTCCTGTTCCAGGTCACACTGTGAACAAGATGCGTAAACACTCAGATTCAGAAGTGGCTTCTCTTGCCAGAGAAGTTTACACTGAGTGGAAAACTTTCATTGAAAAACATTCAAATAGACCTTCTATTGAAGTTAGAAGTGATCCCAAAACCGAGTCGTTTAGGAAAAATGCCCAGAAATTACTCTCAGAAGCCTTGGAATTAAAGGTAATGCCCTAAGTATATACAACTGTTTTGTACCCATAATAATTAATTTTTAAAATAGAAGAAAAATAAAGTGAATATCCTGGTTGGATGTGATTAGTAGGTGCTCTTGGTTAAATGCCTCATGATTTCATAATTAAGATTTCATAGTGTTAATGCTGTGGCTTTATTTTAACCAGTTATTCTTTAAGGATTCTGGATTTATAAGCATTCCAGGAGACAGTGTTGTAGGAGGCAGGCTTTTGAACTAGCAAGATCTGGGGTTGAAACCCTGACATTCTAGTTGTGATACCTTAGGCAGATACCTTAACATTTTCTGAGACTTGATTTCTTAATCTGTAAAATGAGGATTGTAAGTCCTACCACCTAAGGTATTAAAAAGGTTAAATGAACCATATATGCAAAAGAATAGTAGTACCTGCTGATTAGAAGTTATTGAATGAATGTTGGTTACTTCCCATTTAAAATTCCTTCCCTTCTCGCTGAAGTAAAAATTCTGTGATGGACTGAATATCAATAGTAAAATAAATAGTTGTCTAGTGAAAAGACTCAGATCCCCCAGTTTTCGTCAACAGCTATATCTTTAGTTTTAAGTCATAAAATCGATTGGATAGACATGCTCCCTATCTTCATGACTTACAATTCAGATGATGTTCGTGGTTTGAGGTATACATCCTGGAAGAAGGATTTTTGCTCATTAATAATAATATTCATTGTCATCATCAAACAACAAATCTTATAAGCTGATTAATACTCTGGAAAATAACACATATAATAGTCATGTTTCTTCCTTATCCCAGGATATCCCAGAGCAACTCTGCTAAAGTATCCTTAGAGAACAATTTAATATTAATAAAAGAAGCAAATCCGAAGTCTGATTTAAACGCTAGATCTGTTACTACAGTCTCTAAAAAATTTTTTTTGCCGTTCTATCTCAATTATTTATCCACAAAAGAAAGACTTGTGATATAGTACTTACTTTTTTTAAAATAAAGTTTTGGATCTGAAGTGAATTTGCGCCAAAGCAGCAGCTGCATTGCCACAGTTCTGTCTTCACCTTCACCATGTTCCTCTTGGTCAAAAACGCACTAAGTTGCCTCCAAATTCAAAGCATTCAGCAAACAATGGCAAGGCAGAGCCACCACAAACGTACACCTGATTTTCATGATAAATACGGTAGTGCTGTATTAGCTAGTGGAGCCACTTTCTGTATGGAGATATGTAGCAATACAAATCGGAATAGAATGGAACCTGTCCCCTGTTGGCAGAGTCACCCCAAAGGAAGGGAGAGATCGGTAATCATCCCAGCTGGTGTAATAATGAATTGTTTAAAAAACAACTCATAACTGATGCCAAGTTAAAGCACTGTGTACCCATTAAGATATGGCATTATTGAAGAAATAAAGTACATTCGAAACCTTAAAAATAAATAAATAAAGTTGTGGATTTTTAAATACAAACTTCTAATAGAAAATGAGAAAAATTTATAAAAGGGAAAAAAATGTAACCCAGACATAATCTTGTTAACACATTGGCACATTTCCTTTTTTGGTAAATTGTTATGGTTTTTTAAATGAATGTTGGGCAAGTTATGATTAACTGAGATTTATATAGAGTGAATTATATGCCGAAAGTTCCATAAGATATTTTTATTGATTATTTAAGTAACATTGCAGAAAATTGATGTAATTATTTACATTTGTGTTCTCTTTAATCTTGATCAATTTTAGTGTCATTTTGTGTATCCTTTTCTATATATCTTTATTTTTTCATGTTTATAATTTTTTTTTTTTTTTTTTTTTTTTTTTTGAGACAGAGTCTCAGTCTGTCGCCCAGGCTGGAGTGCAGTGGCGCGATCTCGGCTCACTGCGAGCTCCGTCTCCCGGGTTCACGCCATTCTCCTGCCTCAGCCTCCCGAGTAGCTGGGACTACAGACGCTGCCATGCCTGGCTAATATTTTTTGTATTTTTAGTAGAGATGGGGTTTCACCATGTTACAGGATGGTCTCGATCTCCTGACCTCATGATCCACCCACCTCAGCCTCCCAAAGTGCTGGGATTACAGGCATGAGCCACCACGCCCGGCCCATGTTTATAATTTTTAATGACTATTTGATAGTTCAGTGAATTGCTATGCTGAAAGTTCACTTAACTTTTCCTAAAGGAAGCTTTAATATGAGTATTAAACCCTTAGAAGAGAAAACAAAATATGAAAGTTATAAGTCTGATTTTCCAGAGTATCGATTAGCCAACAAGATTTATTTTAAATAAAGTTTAGTTTTGAAATAAGTCAAAATTATTGCAGAAACATACAGTGTGGGTATATAATATATAGTTAATGTGGTGGTAAATACCAGTTCCCTGTGGTATCTTTTTAAGTAAATGATAATAACAAAGCTATGCTTGTAAGGATTAATGAGCAGTTTGCCTACTATATTAAACTCCATGATAATTATCCTTTTAGTTTATCCATTAATTATCCTTTAAATGGCACATCAAGTGGTAAGCACTCAAGTGTTATAAAGCAAAGTTAAAAAACTGATACATTTGTTAGTGCTTTCCAACATAATTGGAAAAAACATCAGATTAAGCATAGCTGAATGGTTTTGTTCTCAAAGAGTAAATTTAAAAAATTAAAAGTATGCATCCTAATGTCTTCCTTAGCCAAAAATAAAAATAAAAAAATAATAACTCTGCTTTCCTTGCATAAACAGCATTTGATAGCATGTTTATCAGTTTGTTATGTCAGAGAATATAAATACAAGCCCTTTTATATAAGGTTAATTCTTAGCACCTATCATCATCTGAGATATTTCCATATTAGAGTAAATCGATGAACCATCTAATTCAGTATCTGGTCTTTGACAGTAACCAATGTTGAGTGCATTCAAATCAGACATCAGATCTCCATAAATGTACTTAATCAGGCAGCAGTAAAGCATTGGGTTTAAGTTATTGGCCCAGTGACTTAAAAGCCTCTACAATTTGATCCTAGCATGTGTTATTGCAAATACCAAATCTTCTCATTACATTTTTGTAGAAAAATAAATGTTTCCATGTTGTTTCACTCATATCCTTTAATAGTGAAAGCCATAGATGAAGAATAATACGCACAGCCTAAAGGTGCATCTCTTTATTACCCTACAGATCTTGCTTTCTAGATTCAGGGATTATTTCCTTGTTCTTGGAATAGTGGAATAGATGAATAAAAACTCCATCGTTGAAACCCAGGCTCCATTCCCCTTTACTTTCTCCCTTCCAGATCTTCTTTGTTCTTCCCCGTCTTTTAGATCTTTCCTCATATGAACATCCCCTGTGGTGTCATTCTCTTACTTCCCCTTCCTCATTATCCACTCTCCTTTCCTACCTCACGGCCTGTGATCATTTTCCTATTATGTCATTTAAAAAAATGAACCTGATTCTCAAAGTGAGCCTGTATCATTAAGAGTTATGAAACACTGGCTGGTTGGCTCAGTTGGTTGTCAGATGGTGCTAATGAGATCCAGGTCAGGGGTACGTCCCCATATGGGACTGTTAGTTTTTCTTTGTTTAATGGCCTCAGACTGCACCCCTGGCTTTGACCAGCTCTCTCATGAATGTATTCAAGTGGTCAAAAAGAAGTGTGGGTAGATATGTACAAATTCAATCATGCTATTGGAAAACCCACACAAAGTTTGCTTCCAGTGGCTATTCAATTCAACAGATGTTTAGTAAGGATCTACTCGGTGCTGGGGGAGAAGACAAACATGAATGAGTCGCATTCCCTATCCTAAGAAAACTTTACTATCTCCTGACTGAAAACCTATAAATGATTAATTAAAATATGAGGCAGTCTGAAATAATGGTACTAGCAAGTATCAACACACAAAGTACAGAGTAGTTAAATCTGATGGGGGAATCTGGGAATGTTTTGTAAAAGAGATGGCAGTGGAGCCCACCTTTATCAGAGGCGTAGGATTTTGCTAATTAGAAAATACACATAAAATAGAAACATATTTTATCTGCTATGTATATGATGTTATTAGAAGAGCAAGAAAGAAGAGTTACACACGGGAAGGAAGGGCATTCATTTAATAAATATTGGTTGAACATTTACTATGTGCCACTAACCTATGCTAGCTAGGCATGCACAGTTTAGAAATGGATACAACATGGTTTCAACTCTAGCAGTCCTTATAGTCTTCTGAGGAAGATAAACAAATAAATAGTTATGAAACAGTGTGGGAAGTTCCACACTTAAGGTAAACACATGAAGAAGACCCTGTTCCCATGCCCTGAGAGAGCTTACGCATGTGACAGACATCACTAATTGGTTATGGCACCAATTCTCACTGATGAAGGAGCTCAAGGGGGTCATGTTTTATATCTTCCTCCAGCTATAGCCAGTTCATCCAGAATTAGAAAGCTGTATAACACACTTAACTCACAGGCACAAACAAATAAGGATTCTGACTGTCTCTGGGAAGTGTGAACTAGGAGATACCAATAAAACAACAGTACAAGTGTTGAACAGAAAGGATGTTGGAGGAGTTGTGAGGAGGCAGAGTTGTGAGTAAAGATGTGTAGCATAGGAAGAGAGAATAAGGCAGTTAGAATTGGTAGTGAGTAAGGCCCATGGAGAAGAGCAAAAACATGTGAGAAAGAGACGAGGCAGCTCATGAGAGATACAGAGAAAGGATCGATTTCTAAATAAATCCCTAGGTTTCTCCCAGTGTTCCTATCCTTATTCCCATTCATACAAATTATCTCATAGCAAAAGCCCTTTTCTCAAGGACTCAGTGAAACTCTGGTCCTTCCACCCAGAAGGGCTCACCTAAAGCACTAGATTAGGACCCACTGGAAAGGACTCACCAACTTGGGTGGGTTTGGATTACCCAAAGGCACTTACAAGACAGGTATTCTTCACTTTGCAACAAACTTGTTGTACACACGGTACACGATGAATCATTTTCTATCACGATTTTAATGTCACATATTTTTCTCCATTTCTTAATTCTGATTGGTCTTCATTTAACAAGAGGCATGCATGAGAATTGTTAGATGCTTACCTTCTATTACCACCACACTGCTGGCATAGCACTTGTCGTGCTGCCTACCCCTGGGTTCCCACCCACTTCTGGGATGTGAGTTTGTGATGGGCAGGGTTCACATCCTTTCTGCTCTCTCTCTCTAAGATCAGGCCAGACCCAGAGTAGCAATTCAGTTAACTATTTGCTGAATGAAGTATGTGAATTACAAGACACTCTCAGAGTTCTTTTTTTTTTTTTAATTTAATACGGGTACTATAATTTGCTGGAGTGCCCATGACTTGTTTTACAAACACATATACCCTTCTTCTTTGATAACCACTCCCCTCAAAAAAAAAAAAAAAAAAAAAGACTTCTTGCTAAGTGTATCTCTAACCACCAGTAGAGACTAACCAGCCTCACACCAGGATAAGGAACTTTCTTTCTAGCAAATGCTGCAGGACAAATGCTGGATAGCCAGCTAGCCACCTTTCCAGCTTCCTAAAGTAGTCTGGTGCCAGGCCTGCCTCAGGGGGCTAGTTCGGTGCCCACCCAGGAAGCCTTGAAAAACTTGGAGTCCGGGTTCTAGAGAACCACGGCGCCAAGTCCACTCACTCCAACACAAGCCGTGGAAATAATCTGTCTGTCATTAGGACCACAAACTTTTGTGAGCACCTTTTGTCGGCTAGACTAAGGCAGATGTCTGGGCCTGGATATTCACTCTCTCTCTGTTTCTCTGTGTCTCTTTCAGTCCTGTTCTGCTCTTTGCTTGGTCCTTACGTCTGCCAAGTTTGTTTTTTCTACTTACTTTGGTCCATCTGTCTCATGTTAGGACATTTTATTAAATGTCAGGTGACCCCTTTTTATTTGGGGTGTGTTTTTTCTTTTTTTGAACTTTGCATTTTGCACAGAAGAACAAACATATATGTACAGCTCAGTAAATTTATCACAAAGCAAACACCTATTTCACTTAGCCAGATCCTACTCATGCTCCAGGTCTCAGATTAAACTTCACTTCCTCTTGAAGCCAGGCACTGCCCTCCTGGGTTGGGTTGCTTTGCCATGACTGTGTTCTCCCCTGTGCTGGTTCCTCTCCTTTCTCCTGGTGCACAGGATCCTTGCAATCCCTGTTCACAGTCTGTCTGTCCTACTGGACTAGGCTGCCCAAGGGCCCAAGGACTGAGCCTTCCTTAGTCACTGCTTATTGCTCAGCCCAAGCACAGAGCATGGCATATAGTGCTGAATGAATGTTTGAATGAATGGCAAAGGGAGGGAGAGAAAGGTTAAAGATAAAAAAGCAAGTGAGAGAGATAAATTTGTCTCCTATTTTCAAGGAATTTTCTACCAGGAGAGACAAACTTAAAATATAGATCGTTGGCTGGGTGCAGTAGCTCATGCCTGTAATCTCAGCGCTTTGGGAGGCCAAGGTAAAAGGATTGCTTGAGGCCAGGAGTTCAAGACCAGTCTGGGCAACTTAGCAAGACCCCATCTCTAAATTTCTTTTTTTAATTGTAATTAGCTGGGCATGGTTGGTGCATGCCTGTAATAATCCTAGCTCTTGGGAGGCTGAGGCCAGGAGATCACTTGAGCCCATGAGTTTGAGCCTGCAGTAAGCTTTGATCACACCACTGCACTCCAGCCTGGGTGACAGAGTGAGACAGTATCTGTAAAATACAAGTATACACTTCATTTATAATATATCATGATAGTGACTAGGGGAAGCTCAGGGCATGGTGGCAGCCTGAAGAACTTTCAGTCCTTTGCACTAGGGTCTTTTTGTTTGGTTGTTCTTGCCTCGGCTTTGACATACAAAGAGGAGTGTTTTCCGTAGGGAAAGGTATGCCTTGCTAAGGGAACATGTGCTGGTGCAGAGGCATAGAGGTGTGTGAAAGCGGCCAAGAGTGGAGTGCTCAGGGCCGGCTGTGGTCAGGACTGGGGAGGGGAATAGCTGAAGATGGGCCTGGAAAGGAGGGTAGTGCTGGGGGCGGTCTCAGACCAGCATCCAACCTACCCTGGATTCAGACCGTGTAGACAAAGTCCCAGATCTCTCCTGCTTTGATTAGGTCTGGGACCTCAAGATGGCTTGGGCCTGAGCCAGACCACCCCAGAATTGCTACAGGTCCCTCCCCTAGGCCTGCTCTGCTTAATGGAAACTGCAGGCGTCTCTCCAATCTCAACCATTCTCTCGGAATGTTGAAGCGGCCATTAGTATGGTGAAAGGGAAAAAACATGAACTTTGGAGTCGAGGGATCCAGGTCAGAGTCCCAGCTCTGTCTCTTAGTAATTGTAAGACCTTAAACCTTTGCCTTTGAACCTGTTTCCTTATCTGTAAAATGTGATAATAGGAGTTATGAGCATTAAATGTGAAAAGTGATTTTTGAACTGTTCTGTACACATATTAGGATCCAGACCCCATGTTTCTAAAATGCCGTAAGGAGTTAAAAGGCAGTCTAAAAACAAAACAAAAAAAAAATATGAACCGTTATACTGATTTGTTATTCTTGGTCTTCGTTTCCTGGTTGGTAAAGTACAGGGCCCAGTACCCGTTGCTTAGTTCAGGCCAGTTTCCTGTTATAATGGCAAATATTACCACCCGGCAGGGGTTGTGAATGAGGTCCCTGTCACAAAGCACATGGCCTTGTTCCTTAATTGCCAGGGTGGAATTAATTTGCTCTTCCTGTTTCTCTTGTGACAGGAAGTAGATGTCCTTGAATTTCAGTTGATTAATGGAGGCCTCTGAGCAGAGTGCTCCAGCCTCTCTTGCTTTTAATCCTTATGCAATGTAAGGCTCTAATTTGATAATTTTGCTGTTTTTTAGATGGATCACCTACTGGTTGAAAATATTGAGCGGGAAACGTTTCATCTCTGCTCCCGCCTCATTAATGGGCCGTACCGGCGGACGGTGAGAGCCCTGGTCTTCACATTAAAGCACCGAGCTGAAATCCGGGCTCAGGTGAAGAACGGCTCGCTGCCAGTCGGCACGTTTGTACAGACCCACAAAAAGTGACCTGAGGACGGTTCCAGCCCTGGGCCAGGCAGAGAAGAAAATGGGCCCCTCTCTGCCGTTCAAAGACGCTTTTGAGTTTGGGTGATGGCTGATGCTGGCTGTGCTAGATTTTCCCATGGTGCCATTCCTTTGCAGACAGAGGATTCGGAGAGCCCTAGGAGACAGGCCTGCAGGAATGTGCTTCATTAGCTGGAGTGCGCTGGTGCTGCCTAACAGAACGCACACTGGCTGTCACTAGGAAGCGCCATACGGTTGCTATCACCCAACATGGTGAAAGGGTGATGGATTTCACTGTGAGTATGCCAAGGACACCTCTAAACTTCCCCCTGTCAGGCAGATGAAGTTACTACTTTATTTCACCACCCTGCAGGTAACTGAAACTCAATTACCGCTGCCGCTCACTCGGTTCCATCCCCCTGAGTTTAGATAGCTCTGGTGCCTCTCAGAACTCCCCTGTCTGTTCTCTTTGCTCTACCCCAGGGGTGAGCCTGCCAGAGCCAGCCGACTACCCCTTCTTCCCAGAGCTCACTTATCTGAACGTTTCAGCTCTCCCTGGAAGACCTTCTGCGTTGGTCTCCAGAGCCCCCATGCTGAGGCTACTAATGAGGAACTGGCCCGAAGCCTCCCACACCTCCGGGTTTATTTGAATACGCTGGCGCTCTCAGTTTAGGGCTCTGTAGAAGATACATAATGAAATTTCTCTTGAAATGAATTACTGCAGTAGAAAAAAGTACATACATATATATGTTAAAGTGAATATCTCTACACAGGCCTGTTTTAACAATTATGTAAATAATACTTGTTTTTTTAAAAGTAATGATAAGCTGGGACTTTTTTTTTCTCAAACAAAAGATGGAGTTTGTTCACTGAAGAGTGTTTTGGGTTGAGAAAGGGTACATTTGGTGAAATTAAAAAATGATGGAACAAGGATTTGAGGAAGGTAGAAGACTCAAGGAAGTGGGGATTAGATTAGAGGATACCGGAGCATGTTTGTAATCTGAAAGGAAGGAGCTGGTAGAAAGGGAGAGATTTAAAATAAAAAATAAAAAAAAAAAGAGTTGAAAAACAAGGGGAGAAGGGATGGGACTAACATTATTGCCTAACTTCTAAATGCTAGGCACTTCTCCTAAGACAGTTTATTAACATTTACATGGATCAAAAACAAGGGGAGAAGGGACGACACTAACATTATTGCCTACCTTCTAAATGCTAGGTACTTTTCCTAAGACAGTTTATTAACATTTACCTGGATCTTTAGATAGTTTTGTAAAAATCTTTATATAGTTTTGTAAAAATCTTGTAAAAATCTTCTCTCACCCATTGTATTAAGTAGGTATTGTTGTTTTCATTTTTTAGATTTGTTTGTTTATTTAGCAACCATTTCCTGAGCATCCATTCTGTGGGGTAGGTGTACACTGAGCAGTAGTTACAAATGGGAGCCTGAGGCTCACTGAGCAGAAGCATCACCTTCAATTTCTCACTGCTAGTAACTGTTGGAGCTAGAATAATAATAATCGAGCATTTACCCTGGGCCCAGCACTGTGGTAACCATTTTACAAAAAGAGACTACCCAGTTAAAGACGAGAAAAGTGAGGCTCAGAAAGGTATAGTAACTTACTCAAGGTCACACGGATAGTGAATGACAGATCTAAGATTCAAAATCCAGGTCTATTTGACTGTATATGGTTCCCTTGGATGATTTCATCCACTCTCATGTTTTCAAGCATCGTCTACATGCTGATGACATTCCAGTTTGTATCTTTAGCCCAGACCAGTCCCCTGACTTTCAGATGATATTTCCTAGATGCCCCATAGACATCTCAAATATAACATGTCTTCTCTCCATTGGCAGTACCAGCAAGCCAGACACTCCAGCTAGGAACTCAAGGGGTCAGCCTAGACCTCACATCTCCCACTCTGAGCCAACCAAGTCCTAGTGGTTTGATTAGGTTGGTGCAAAAGTAATTGTGGTTTTTGCCATTACTTCTAATGTATTACTTCTTTGCATTTGCTGTTCCAGTTGCAGTGCTCTTTCCCTAGACATCTGCATGTTCTTGTCCTCATTTGATTTAGGTCTCTCTTTTCCTTGTCAAAAAGGCCTTTGCTGACTACCCTAAATTACAATAGCACTCCCCCCTAACTATTCTTTAATGCTGTACCTGGCTTTATTTTTCTTCAGAATATTTATTACTCTTTAACATAGTTATTTATTTCTTTATTGTCTATCTCCCCACTCCCAGAATGTAAGCTTCATGAAAGCAGAATCTTTGTTCTGTTTCCTGCTATATCTCTAGCATCTGGAACAGAGCCTGGGACAAGCTAGGTCTTCATAACTATTTATTGGATAGTTGAGTGACTGATTGTGGATGTACAGGATAAGCATCTAATTCTATCAGAGAGTGCTTCCTGGAGGAGCTGATACCTGTGTTCAGTCTTAAAGGGCAGGGGTTTGGATAGGGGAATGTTAGTTAATATAATGAAAATTTCAAAATTAAAGGGCAGGAGTAATTAATTGGGTGGTTGAGATGCATGCCTGGCAGAGCAAGCAGAGTATGGAAAAACCCAGAAGTGGAGATATCTAGAAGGTGATTGGTATGGCTGGAGTAGAGGACACTGGCAGGAGAGTAGCCGGAGATGAGGCAGAAGAGGAAGGCAAGAACCAGGACCAGGTCTGAAGGGTCTTGAGCATCAGGAGAAGGCGTTAGACTGATTCAAAGCAGGAACTGCTTAGTTTTGTATTAATAGGCTATGTGGAAGAGAAGCCGGGATAGGGAGACTGGAAGTAGCAAGCCTCATGTTTAAAGAACCAAAGAGTTCTGCTAACTTAGGAACCCAGAGTAAGTTGAAAACAAATTGCTCTCTGGCTGAAAGCCTTCAGTGGTGATAGTTGGAAAGTAGAATGATTGCAGAGATGTGCTTTGGAGATTTGGAAAGCAGGCTGTGTTATTTGTGGCTGTTTTCTCCTTGATGCATGTGCAGAATTTCCATGCACGCTAATGGAGCTATTCTGAGCATTTGCTGAAGGGAAGGAAGCTTGCAGACATCCCTCCCAATCTTGCCCACATCCCTCCCAATCTTGCCCACACACCGAGAAGTACCTCGGAGCTACAGTCTGTTAAAAATGAGAAGGTTGAAGCCGGGCACATTGATTCATGCCTATAATCCCAGCACTTTGGGAGGTCGAGGCAGGCAGATCACCTGAGGTCAGAAGTTTGAAACCAGCCTGGCCAACATGGTGAAACCCCAGCTCTACTAAAATTACAAAAATTAGCCAGATGTGGTGGCAGGCGCCTGTAATCTCAGCTACTTGGGAGGCTGAGGCATAAGAATCGCTTGAACCTGGGAGACGGAGGCTGCAGTGAACCAAGATCGCACCACTGCACTCCAGCCTGAGCAACAGAGTGAGACTCTGTCTCAAAAAAAAAAAAAAAGAAAGAAAAGGTTGCCCCTGAAATGGGGTGAGAATAGTTCCTGAGACCTCTGAGCTACCTGTAAGTCAAGGTGTGAATATGTCTTATAAGCATGTTCAGTTGCTGGGAGAAATGTGGGAAAGTAAATACCATTTGTGTCTGCTCTAACAGCTTATTGATGCTTTTCTTGTAGTGGTTAATTTGGAGGTCCTGGTCGGGCATGGTAGCTCACACCTGTAATCCCAGCACTTTGGGAGGCTGAGGCAGGTGCATCACTTGAGATCAGGTGTTTGAGACCAGCCTGCCAACATGGTGAAACCTTGCCTATACTAAAAATACAAAAGTTAGCCAGATGTGGTGGCAGGCAGCTGTAATCCCAGCACTCGAGAGGCTAAGGCAGGAGAATTGCTTGAACCCGGGAGGCAGAGGTTGCAGTGAGCTGAGATGGCACCACTGCACTCCAGCCTGGGTGACAGAGCGAGACTCAGTCTTAAAAATAAAATAAAAATAAATTAAAAAAAAATTGGAGGTCTTGGTCCTTTGTGTAGGGACTCAGTCTCTGTATTTTCATTCATTCATTCAACAAACAAATGTTGCCCATCTTCTGTGTGCCAAGGACTAGACTGGCACTGGGGACACAGCAATAAAAGAGGGATAATTTCCTCTTAGTCCGGTGAGGCAAATAGACACATAACTAAATAAATAGAGTATAGCATATTGGGTGGTAACTATAGACATAAAAATATTGAGAAAATGGGGAAAGGAATGAATAACACCACTCATAGGAAGAATCTTCACAGAGGAGTTCATGTTTGAACCAAAGCCAGAAGGATAGGTAGGAGTGCTTAGCAGAAGGCTCAGTCTATGTGAAAGCACAGAAGCGTAAGGTGTATGGCTAGTTTCAGTAAAGGAAAATAATATGAGGTGGTTGAAACATAAGGTTCTTAGGAAGGTAGTGAGAAATTGGGCAAAAAAAGTAACCAAGGCCTTGGAGGCCTTATCAACGAGTTTGGACTTTGGCCTTCAGATAATGGGAGACCATGAGAAGTTTTTGAGGAGGTGAGGGACCTAATCAGGTGTGTGTTTTAGAAAGATTAAAAAAAAAAAAAAAAAAAAAACCCAACAGATATTTTAAGAAAATTTTAAACATTCAAAAGAAACCCAACAATTTAAGGCAAAGGAAAGAAACACTTGAGATTCAGTAAATTAGAGGGTTTTTTTTTTTTTTTTTTTGACAAATGAAGTTTAAAGTTGCCCAAACAGATATCATTAGAGAATCTCAGGTTTGAAAAGTGGCAAGAGGCCCAGATAATGCATTTACTGTGTTCTGTGGTGAAGGAACAGGCAGCTGGCCTTTTTCATTTATAGAATATCAGGTTCTTAAACTTGTGCCTGTCAACTTTGGTTTTCTTTTGCTGTAGCCTCAGGCCTCAGAGCCTTACTCTGAGATTGGTAATGTGTTTTGAATGTGTTTATCACAGCCAGATGGGGCAAGGGCTCAGTTTGTTACTGCCCATTATTGCAAGGGAAGGGAGTCCATCCAGAAAACAAAGCTTTGGGAGTTTCAGTTAGTTGGGTGACATTGCCCTGATATCAAAGGAAAGATGGTTTGATTGGATACATTGTATTTTCTTTAAATCAACCAAAATGATACAATTACTGTCAGGATGGACTTACTCATAACCTGGGGAGGTTGGTTTCAAGATCCAAGAAGATCAAAACATCCAATCAAATGCTGTTTTTTAATGTTGATAAAATCATTCTTTCAATACGCATTTGTTGAGTTCTTACGTATCAGGTATTAGGGTCACAGGGATAGAGAAGACATAATCTTTGGCCTCAAGAAGTGTACAGTCTCATGAAGGAGAAGATAATAAACAGGCTATTTTTACCATTTATTTTTATTTTGGGAGGGAGTCGGGGTCTCACTGTGTCACCCAAGGTGCAGTACAGTGGTGCAATTACAGCTCACTGCACCTTTGACCTCCCAGGTTCAAGCAAGCCTCCTACCTCAAGCCTCCCAAGTGGCTGGGACCGTAGGTGTGTGCCACCATACCTGGCTAATTTTTTATTAGCCAGGTTTGAAACCATGTTGACCAAGCTTCTCTTGAACTCCTGGTCTTCAGTGAGCCTCCTGCCTTAGCCTCCCAAGGTGTTGGCATTACAGGCATGAGTCACTGTGCCTTGCCCAGACCATTTTTGAAAACACAAATGGGCAGGGTGCAGTGAGATTTTTAGGGGCCAATGGTCTGGGATGTGGCAGGGACATTCTCTTGAAAGTGAAAGACAATTATTGCATCTCACTCCAACCATTAAGAAGGAAACATAATGCCTGGGAGCCCTCTTTAGGTTTTGGAGACAGCATATCCCACACCTAGGAATACTGCTCCATCCATGTACTGGATGACACAGAAAGTTGTCAGTTTTGATTGGGGCCCAGAGCAGGAAAGGGCTCAGCAGAAGCTCCAGGCTACAGCACAAGTGGCCATGCTGTGTAGGATGGATGAGCTGGCAGAGCCCAAAGTACCTGAGGTGTCTGTGGTAGGAACAGATGCCCATCAAGTTTATGACAAGACCCTACAGGAGAATCACAATGTAGACACCTGGGGTGCTGGAGCGGGGCCATGCCATCCATAGCCAAGAATTGTATACTTAAGAAACAACTCTTGATACTACAGGGTTCTGATAGAGACAGATCATGAGACCATGGATCATTAAGTTGACCATGTGACCAAAGCTGTTCATCATGAGCTGGATTTTGCCATATCCACCAAGTCATAAGGTCAGGCAAAGCCAGCAGCAATTCCTAAGATAGAAATAGTACGACTGGGGTTGGGCATAGC